TGGTGCTGTTGTTGTTGTTGTTGTTGTTGCTGTTGTTGCTGTTGTTGCTGTTGTTGTTGTTGCTGTTGTTGTTGTTGCTGTTGTTGTTGTTGTTGTTGTTGCTGTTGTTGTTGCTGTTGTTGCTGTTGTTGTTGCTGCTGCTGTTGTTGTTGTTGCCGCTGTTGCTGTTATTGTTACTGTTGTTGCTGCTGTTGTTGCTGGTGTTGCTGTTGTTGTTGCTGCTGTTGTTGCTGTTATTGTTGTTGTTACTGTTGTTGCTGTTGTTGTTGCTGCTGTTGTTGCTGTTATTGTTGTTGTTACTGTTGTTGCTGTTGTTGCTGCTGCTGTTGTTGCTGTTATTTTTGTTGTTGCTGTTGTTGTTGCTGCTGTTGTTGCTGTTATTGTTGTAGTTGCAGTTGTTGCTGCTGCTGTTGTTGCTGCTGCTGTTGTTGCTGTTATTGTTGTTGTTACTGTTGTTGCTGTTGTTGCTGTTGTTGTTGCTGCTGTTGTTGCTGTTATTGTTGTTGTTACTGTTGTTGCTGTTGTTGCTGCTGCTGTTGTTGCTGTTATTTTTGTTGTTGCTGTTGTTGCTGTTGTTGTTGCTGCTGTTGTTGCTGTTGTTGTTGTTGCAATTACTTGATTATTTTATTTTGTTTTAGCTGTTCATAAGTTAAAACATTCAGCTCATTCAGGGCCTGGGAGTTTGTGTATTTTTTATACTTTTAAAAATAGGTAAAAAAAATTGTAAACATTTTGTAAAAGAACACCACAGATAATTCTTCAGTTTCTTGAAAAGGGTCTCTTTGAAATCTGCTTCAGCTACTGGCTCTGGTTTTGATTTCTTTAGTTAGTTTTAGCTTTTGATTTGCTTCTTTTAACTTGAACTCAGTTTTAGCTCATAGTTTTAGTTTATGCGTTGAATTTTAGCTCAAAGTTTTAGTTTATGTGGTGAGTTTTAGCTCATAGTATTAGGTTGCTTGGTTCATCGTTATCAGAAAGCAGTGAAAGCTGCTAAATCTAAATTCTTCTCTGATATAATTACCTCAAACTCTCACAACCCATGTGTCCTCTTCTCCACCCTAAACTCTGTTCTCCACCTCACTGAACCATCACCTCTGGAAGCCTCGACTGAGCTGTGCAACAACTTCCTACATTTCATTTTAGAAAAAATTGCGACCACCCGGCTCTCATTTCCCCCCCAACTCATGACCCATCCATCCCACCTCAATCTGTAGCTCCTTTTGACCATTTTGAACCCATCACTCTATCTTCTTTAGAGCAGGTCATGTGCAGCTTGAAACCTTCTGGCTCCCCCTTTGATGTGGTCCCCCCTCGACTACTAAAGGAGGTGTTTCCAACTCTAGGTCCGTCCATTCTTGCCATAGTAAACAGTAGTTTATCCACTGGCGTGGTGCCAAAATCCTTTAAACATGCTGCTGTCCAGCCTCTCCTGAAAAAAACAAACCTTGACCCCTCAGTCGTTTCCAACTTCCGGCCTGTCTCCAAACTCCCATTTGTTTCTAAAGTACTGGAGAAAATAGTCGAGTCCCAGTTGAAGTTCTTCCTGGAGGATCACGCCATCTTAGAGCTTTTCCAATCTGGCTTTAAACCTCTCCACAGCACTGAAACTGCCCTGCTGAAGGTCTTTAACGACATCTTCAGATTCACAGATACCGGTGATTCTGTGCTGCTTGTCCTGTTGGACCTCACAGCCGCCTTTGACACCATCGACCATGAGATCCTCATTGCTAGGTTGGAGCAGTGGGTGGGCGTCACAGGATCAGCCGTCAATTGGTTCAGATCTTACCTCACTGTCAGGTCCTTTTGTGTCTCCATCGAGGATTTTAGTTCTGCAGTGGCAGAGCTTAAATGGGGGGTTCCGCAGGGGTCCATACTGAGTCCCCTCCTATTCTCTTTATACCTGCTGCCGCTTGGTGCTATTTTCCGGAAACACAACATGCCCTTCCACTTCTATGCCGATGACTGTCAAATTTACTTCCCC